ATTCTCACACACATACACAGGCTCTCATACACACCCATCCACACTCCCCCTCATTCTCACACACACACTCACAGACTCACACACACACTCCCTCTCATTCTCACACACATCCACACACTCCCTCTCACACTCTCTCACACACACACACACACACTCTCTCCCTGTCTGACCTTCACTCAGGTCCTTCTGCTGTTTCTCCAGCTGGGACTCCAGCGACTTCATCTTTCTTCCCACATTGCCTCCTGCGGGAGAGACTCGCTCAGCGTCCCGACAGCCCCCCAGCCCCCGCCCCAGCCCCAGCCCCGCCTCAGCGCCCTCACCCTGGGTGCTCAAGCCCTTGACCTGGGCCTCGGTGCTCGCTGTGAAGTTGCTGAACGTCTCTCTCAGGCCCCGCAGCTCCTGCTGCAGCTGGGCGTCTGGCCAGGAGAGGGTGCAGAGAGAACAAAATGGGAGCGCTGTGTCCACCACCACCGCACCCACCACTCCTTCGCCACGGTACCCCGTCAACACCCCCCAATGTTGCCCCCTTCCCTGCCCACCCCTGGGGCACCCACTTTGGGATCCGATCACACAGACAACCACCAGCAGCAGGAGGCTGAGGCCCAGGGAGAGCAGGAGGAGGCGAGGGCCGGAGCAGAGGCGCCGCAGGAGGGACTGCGGAGGAGGTGGCCCTGCGAGAGGAGGGGGTGTCAGGAGCGCGGGGACAGAGGGGAGCCTGGCACAGCTCCGGGGTCCTGAAAGGGGAGCAAGTTAAGGCGGCCCTAGTAGTCTAGGAGGAACCACGTACATGAAAAAATGCGGGCGGTGCGCGACCCTGCAGGGCCAGAGGCAACTGGAAATCGGGGAGAAAAGAGGGCTGGGCTGGGGGGCTAAGCGCTGAGCCGCCCTATCCCACCGAGGCCCTGAGCTTTTGCTGACACCTAATGGCATGACTGCGTCACTGCAGCCAATCCAGGAGCCTCAGTCCATCCCCTCCTCCCGCGCCTCGGAGCCGCTGCTTCCCCTGAAAGTGGGAAAAGGCGGGAGGTTTCTTTCTCTGTCCGTGAATTCCGCTGGTCTTTGGCTGCGTGCAGGGAGAGAACGTGCAATAGCTACCCTTCAGGCCCTCAAGCCTTCCACCCAGCAGGGGGAAGAGACACGTTAGCCCTGTGTCCTGAGAGGTGGAGGGTGGGGGACCCTCCCGGGGCTCTCCCTGCCCGCTCTCCTCCGCTGCGGACCCTCCTTCCGTCAAAGCGCGCTGCACCCCATCCCCCAAGAACTTCAGCCTTGCCCAGCCTAAACAAGCGCCTGCTCGGAGGACAAAGAAATGGGTCAAGGGGAATTTGCTTTTGAAGCAAGAGGGTGTCGTTCTCCCTCAGGTCAGAGATCCCTCATCCCCCGTCACAGAATCCTCAGACCCTTCGCAGAAACCTTTGCCCACTTCACCAAACTGATCACTGACACACACAGGCACGCGCACACACACACACGCGCGCACACACACACGCACGCATGACCAGGGCTCCCTGGGTGGTGTTGGAAGGGGAAAGGAAGAGGGGCCTGACTTCGTCATAGAAAGCCAACAGTGACCTCTCCAACTTCCAGCTGTTCCCACACCCCCTGGGTCCACCCCCGAGTGCCAGGAGGCACAGGAAAGCTTTGGGCAGCTGTCACCAAGAAAGGGACTCCAACTCCACACCCTGCCCCTCTCTTGAGAGGGGCAGCTCCGACACTTTTCTCAGTGTTGGGAGAGGGAGACAGACGCAGAGAGAGCCAGGCTCACGGGCAAGAGTAGGAGCTGTGGCTGGGGGGTGGAGTAACCGCCAAATTCTTGCCTTGCAGAGGCAGGGCAAGGCGGCCATCACCTTTTCCGAGCTGATGGTGGTCACTCTCCTCATTGTCCAGATGCTGCAGGTCCTGATACTCCTTGGTCATGATAGGGCTGGTGCTGGAGCTGGGACTGAGTCAAGGCTGAGGCTGGGGCTGAGGTGGGGGCTCACCAGGACTAGGGCTGGAATGAGGGGCCCATCTTTTTACTCCCATCTGATTGACGGCTCCATGGAGACCTTTCTTCTTTCTTTCTCTCTTTTTTTTTTTTTTTTTTTTTTTTGAGACAGAGTCTTGCTCTGTCCCCAGGCTGGAGTGCAGTGGGGCGATCTCGGCTCACTGCAGCCTCTGCCTCCCAGGTTCAAGCGATTCTCCTGCCTCAGCCTCCCGAGTAGCTGGGACAACAGGCGCCCGCCACCACACCCAGCTAATTTTTTGTATCTTAGTAGAGACAGGGTTTCACCGTGTTAGCCAGGCTTGTCTTGAACTCCTGAGCTCAGGCCATCCGCCCTCCTCAGCCTCCCAACGTGCTGGGATTACAGGTGTGGGCCACCGCGCCCAGCCGAGACCTTTCTTCTTTCCTCCATCCACCCCCAGGCCTGACATCCAGAATCTGTCCTCTAATGTTTCCCACCAGCACCCCCCAACACAGCCTGGCTTTCCTCCACACCCCTGCACCCCCAACCAGCCTCCCGCCACCTCTCTTCCCGTTTTACTTGCTCGGGGTCTCAGGGTCTGACTCCCAGGTTCTTCAGTGCTGTGCAGATGCTGGACTAAGGAGGGGGGCTGAAGCTTGGAGAATGGGGGTGGGTGGACAGCCGTGGACGATGGGGTGGGAGCGGGCAGGGTCCATAGGAGGGCCCTGGGCCCCGGTGTCTCTGTGTCTGCGTGTCTGTGTGTCCAAGCACGCCAAACGTGGCATCTCCAGTGCCCGGGACTTTGGACAGTAAACAGAGGTGGAAATGGATTGGGACTTAGGGGAGTGTGGGGGCGGGAGTGGGGGATGGGTTGCCTCTGCTCTCCTCCCCAGGGAGGAGGATCATGTTGCCACCACACAGGCCAGTCACCCTACTCTTCCATGCACCGTTTGGGAGGGGTGCCAGGCCAGGAGGCGCTGGGGTGGGATTTGCCATATCCCCCCTCCCTCCCCGTTTCGCTTCCTGCCTCTAAATTCCCCAGAACTATTGCTGTCTCCAAATATCCCTGAACAGGATCAGAGGAACCGGTTCTCTGCTCTTGCCCAATCCAGGCCTGTGACCCTGGCACATGAGCTGCAGGCCCCAGTTTCCTGCAGGGCCGAGCCCCAGGCTTCCCAGCTCTGGCCTGACTTGCTTCCCTCTCCTGGGGAGTAAAGTCTTCCAAGCAGCATGAGGGCCGGTTTGGTTCCGGGAGAGGCAGGGGAGCCTCCGCTGGGACTGGTGCCAACAAACCTCCATTCGCTGCTACTCTGTGCCTCAGGTCACTGCGTTCATGAACTTCTCTCATTATCCCCAGAGCACATCACATTTCACAGATGAGAAAGCTAGGGCCCTACAAGGTAAGAGCTTGCCAGGGTCATGCTGCAAGGACGCAGCAAAGGGTAGACTAGAACCTGAGCAGCCTGACTCCAGGCACTGCGTTCAGGCCCCAGAACTACACCCAGAACCAGGATCCCATCCGGTTGACACAGCTGGGCTCCAGTGTCCCAGAGATGCTAAACCATGGTCCCTTACAGTCCCACGGAGCTTCAGAGAGAGCCATGTGAATCTGAATTATGCTCACTTGGAAATCAGGCAGTATTAAAGATAATCTCAGCTGGGCACAGTGGCTCACGCTTGTAATCCCAGCACTGTGGGAGGCCAAGGCGTGCAGATCACCTGAGGTCAGGAGTTCAAGACCAGCCTGGCCAACATGATGAAGCCCCGTCTCTACTAAAAATACAAAAATTAGTCAGGCATGGTGGTGCATGTCTGTAATCCCAGCTACTCGGGAGGCTGAGGCAGGAAAATCGCTTGAACCCAACACATATAATACTTATCACACACGTAACACACTAACACACACACACGTTCACACACATACACACTGATACACACTCACATAAACACATTGCAGACTCACTCCGCACACACCCATCCGCATTCCCTCCATTCATACAGACTCACACACTTCTCGCCTCACACACACAGACTCTTTCACACACATCTCTTCAGCAACACAGACTACACCATCTCATTCTCACACTACACACAGCCATCATCTCATTCTCTCACACTCACAGACTCATACACACACACTCCCCTCTCATTCCTTAAACACACTCCCTCTCATTCCTCAAACACACTCCCTTTCATTCACACACACACCTGGCTGTCATTTGAGCACACACTCCCTCTCTCGAGCCCTCACACACACACTCCTCTCATTCTCACACACACTCCCTTCATTCTCACACACACTGCAGACACACACACTCCCTCTCATTCTCACACACATCCACACACTCATGTTAATTCTCTCATTCTCACACACATCCATACACTACTCACTACACTCTCTCACACACACACTCCCTCTCATTCTCACACACATACACAGGCTCTCATACACACCCATCCACACACTCATACTTCAAGCACACTCAGACCTGCTACACTCCCTCATCTCTTGCCACACACCCACACCTCTCATGCCACCCATTCTCACACATCCACACTCACTCTCATACACCTCTCACACACACACTCCATTCTCACAATACAAGCACAGGCTCTCACACACCATCCACACCCCCTCATTCTCACACACACAGTCACAGACTCACACACACACTCCCTCTCATTCTCACACACACACTCCCTCTCAGTCTCAAGCACCACTCTTTCATTCTCACACACACACAGACTCACACACACCTCTCATTCTCACACATCCACACACTCCACTCATATACTCTCTCACACACTCCCTCTTATTCTCACACACATACACAGGCTCTCATACACACCCATCCACACTCCCTCATTCTCACACACACACCACAGACTCACACACACACTCCCTCTCATTCTCACACATCCACACACTCCTTCCTTCATTTCTGCTTAGTAATAGCACACACACTCTCTCCTGTCTGACCTTCACCTGTAGTCCTTCTGCTGTTTCTCCAGTCAGACTCCAGCGATTTCATCTTCTTCCCACATTGCTCAGTGGAGACTCGCCTGAAACCTGACAGCCTCCCAGCCCCGGGCTCCCAGCCTCAGCCCTGCCTCAGCGCCTCACCCTGAAATGGCCTTGACCTGGGCCTCTGTGCTCACGTGAAGTTGCTGAAGGTCTCTCTCAGGCCCCGCAGCTCCTGCTGCAGCTGGGCGTCTGGCCAGCAGAGGGTGCAGAGAGAACAAAATGGAGCGCTGTGTCCACCACCACCGCACTCCACCACTCTTCGCCACGACGTCATAATACCCCCAATGTTGCCCTCCTGCCCACCCCTGGGGCACCCACTTGGGGATCCTGATCACACAGAGGGCACCACCAGCAGCAGAGGTTGAGGCTCAGGAGAGCAGGAGGAGGCGAGGGCCGGGAGCAGAGGTGCCAGGAGGACTGCAAAGAGGAGGTGGGCTCTGCAGAGGAGGGGTGTCAGGAGCGTGGGGACAGAGGGGGAGCCTGGCACAGCAGCCTGGGTCCTGAAAGGAGCAAGTTAAGGCGGGCTCCTAGTAGTCTAGGAGGAACCACGTACATGAAAAAATGCGGGCGGTGCGCGACCCTGCAGGGCCAGAGGCAACTGGAACGGGGGAGAAAAAGAGGGCCGGGCAGGGCCAAGCGCTGAGCCGCCCTATCCCACCGAGGCCCTTGAGCTTGCTGACACCTAATGGCATGATCAGTGTCACTGCAGCCAATCCAGGAGCCTCTGAACCATCCCCTCCTCCCGCGCCTCGAGCCAAGCGCTTCCCTGAAAGTGGAAAAGGCGGGAGGTTTCCTTTCTCTGTCCGTGAATTCCGTGCCTGTCTTCTATTGCAGAGAGAACGTGCAATAGCTACCCTTCAGGCCCTCAAGCCTTCCACCGAGCAGGGGGAAGAGACACGTTAGCCCTGTGTCCTGAGAGGTGGAGGTGGGGACCTCCCGGGTTTCCTCTCGTCTGGCTTCTCCTCCGGGCTGGCGGACCTCCTTCCACAAAGCGCTGCACCCCATCCCCCAAGAACTTCAGCCTTGCCCAGCCTAAACAAGCGCCTGCTCGGAGGACAAAGAAATGGGTCAAGGGGAATTTGCTTTTTGAAGCAAGAGGGTGTGTCGTTTCTCCTCAGGTCAGAGATCCCTCATCCTCCGTCACAGAATCCTCAGACTTTCGCAGAGAAACCTTTGCCCACTCTACCAAACTGATCACTGACACACACAGGCACGCGCACACACACATCGCCAACACACACACACGCACGCACCCACCAGCTCCTGGCAGCGAAGAAAGGAGGCCTGACTTCGGCCACAGAAAGCCAAACAGACCTCTCCAACTTTCCAGCTGTCTTCACACCCCTGGGTCCACCCCCGAGTGCCAGGAGGCACAGGAAAGCTTTGGGCAGCTGTCACTACAGCGATTGATGTGTGTAACACCTGCCTCTCTCTGAGAGGGGCAGCTCCACTTTTCTCAGTGTTGGGAGAGGGAGACAGACGAGAGAGAGCTAGGCCTACGGGCAAGAGTAGGAGTTGTGGCTGGGGTGGAGTAATCACAATTCTTGCCTTCTGCAGAGGCAGGAGCAAGGCGGCTATCACCTTTTCCGAGCTGATGGTGGTCACTCTCCCTCATTGTCCAGATGCTGCAACCTGATACTCCTTGGTCATGAGATAGGGCTGGTAAAGGAGCTGACTGAGTCAAGGCTGAGGCTGGGGCTGAGGTGGGGGCTCACCAGGACTAGAGCTGAATGAGGGGCCTCCATATCTTTTACTCCCATCTGATTGACTTGGCCCATGGGACTTTCTTTCTTTTTCTTTTTTTTTTTTTTTTTTGAGACAGAGTCTTGCCTACCCCAGGCTGAGGCAGGTGGGCGATCTCGGCTCACTGCAGCCTCTGCCTCCCAGGTTCAAGCGATTCTCCTGCCTCAGCCTCCCGAGTAGTTGGGATGTAAACAGGCGCCCGC